ATGGGAAGTAGAATCCACTTATACTATTTGCCTAAGAAAATCCCTCACAGGCGTAGTCATCTCACAATGTCACAATCAAAAATCTCCTCGGTGTCAGAGCCAAAAAATAAGTTGGGGAAATTTTCTCCACTCTTTGTCCTCTCTCTGAGATGGATGTTTGAGATCTGGCTCTAGTTATTTTTAAAGATCCTTTGGTGAAAAGTGCTATAAATCCAAATTATTATTTCACACCATGAGATGTGGTGTAAAGACAAGGATGTGCTCCAACCGGGGTAGCATCCAACAGTGCAGGTTGTGTATTTCTGGAATCTTCATCAATAAGAAAGATGAAGTACTTAACTCGGGCAGTTTCTTTAAATACTCGAGCAGGGTTTATCTTTGGAACACTCCTGCTGCTTACAACGTCCTCTTTGCAGTACGTCTGTAAGACTCAGAGGAATTTCCACGGTTAAATCAATCTGAAAGCTGTGTCGAAATTGCCTTTAAAAAATCTCTGAGCATTCAACATATATACACTTGTTAAAATTAATTACATAATTTAACATTTCTATGCACATTATAGTTTCAAATGCTTTACAGTCATTTTTATTAATTAATAAAGCTTTATAGGACAAAAATTGCACCGTAAAATTATTATGCATAGACCGCATTTTCAATTTTGCTTCTCTCTCTCAATATTTTCCCCTAAATGGAAAGTCACTAATTCATAAACCATAGACTCTCACAGAAAGGAAAACTGAACATGAGAAATGCACAGAGGAAGAAAGAAATCTGGCCTCTTTCTTCCAAAAAAAGGCCCGCTTTCCTCCCCTGATCTCCCAAGAAAGGCAAAAGGGCCCCAGAGCAGCCCACTTTGGGAATTCTGCCTGGCCCTGGAAATGGCAGAAACAGCAACAGATCCCAGCCGAGCTGCCCCAGAAGACACAAACAGGGACACAGAAAACTGCTACTGCTGCTGTTTGGCATAGAGAGTCCCCAGCCTGCCTCATTTAGAAAATGTCCTATAGGGCCGGCCCGGTGGCGCACTGGAGAGTGCGCTGCTTGGGAGCGTGGCGGCGCTCC